GGAGAGGAAGGTTCTCCAGGATCTCCAGGACGACTTGGGGAGCCGGGCAGAGAAGGATATCCTGGTAAGCTTGACTTTCATGTCATCCATTCCAGTAAGCTCATTCACTTACTTGTTTTCAGGCCAACCTGGTATTCCCGGCGAGAGTGGTAAGCCTGGAAAAGTGGGTGAACCAGGAGCTCCCGGTAGAGAAGGTATTCGTGGAGCCAAGGGACCAATGGGAGACAAGGGAGAACCAGGACCACAAGGCCAGAAAGGGCCGGCTGGATATCCAGGACGCGACGGACAACGTGGAAGCGATGGTAAGTGAAGAACTAGTTGGAACACTACACTTGATACACTTGAATATCCACGCATAGAGCAGTAGGTGGTAACACTAGTGATGCACTAAGACACTGGCTTACAAGTGTAGCAGAGAGAATGGGCATTAAGATAGGTAGATTGACGTACACATAGATAGACAGAAGAGATTGGATAGATGGGCAGATTGAAAGAAAAACGGTAGAAAAACAGACAGACAGAGACAAATCGACAGACAGACACTCGATTACGAAGACGTGCTTGAGAAGCAGACAAAGGATCAAGGACTCAAACTGATAGATAAGCAGCTGAGAAGAGGAGATAAGAGAAAGAGAGCGCGAGAGGGAAGGACATGTGTTACTGACGGAATGGCCTCATGATCATGCAAATTGGAGCTAAGGAAAAGTTGATCAGGCATGTAAGGAGTGCGTAGAGAAAGGGCAGGCTGACTCTGTGAGAACCTGCATAAACATGCAGACAGACAGACAGACAGACAGACAGACAGACAGACAGACAGACAGACAGACAGACAGACAGACAGACAGACAGACAGACAGACAGACAGACAGACAGACAGACAGACAGACAGACAGACAGACAGACAGACAGAAGACAGACAGACCGACATACAAAGAGAGATAGGCAGAAAAGACATGCTGCACTTAATAAGTGGGTAAATCGTTGCGGAAGCCAGGCATAAAATGAAATTTAGCTAGCAAAGAGACAAAGACTTCAACAGGGAAGGGTACAAGAGAGGCAGGAGGGGGTCAAGAGAAGAGCACTGGATGCTGATGGATAGACATACAGCCAGAAAACAGGCAGAAAGAGGAGATCAGCGGTACATATGTAGATTGAGTAAGAAGTAGGGGCTATTTGACAGACATTTTCACAGGTCTTATCAAAGTAGCAAGTCCGAGAGGTTGGAAGACCATCAGCAAATAGTGAAAGCTCCCAATTCATTATTTAAGGCGAGGTCGGACCAGCAGGACCGGCTGCCCGCAGTTCAGCCTGGGAATGGCCCGCGGAGAACTGGACAGCGGGTATTATCGGGGAGCAACCTTGGTGAGACTTCAAACAGTATCGAGAAGCCGTCTTGACACAGCCTGTAACAGTCCACTCCTTTCAGGACAACCTGGACCGGATGCAAACTACTGTAAATGCCCAGAACGCTAGTCTGGGTGTCAACCGATATGCCGACAAGCCAAAGACAACCGTGGCTCCACCAGCACCACCTGTGGGTTACGATACTCCTCCAGCAGCAGTACATGGGAGGCTTTATGATAAGCCCATGTTCGGGTGAATTCTTCCTGGATTAAACCTGCGTAGTTGTGGAGAGCTTGAAGAGACAAACATGGGTATGTGACAAGCATCCATATACGAAGTTATTACGATTAGGAATCGCTTGGCTAATTTACTAAAACTTTCCATAGCAATCTGACCTTCGCTGAGGTGGAGGGCGACCTGAATCATCAGAGCTCTGGAAAGCTCAACGTTCTCAAATGGGGCTCAGGGCGGTTGTAGGCGGATGATCCCACGGTGCCCGTGAGAAGTTCCAGAAGAGGAAGTTTTGGATTTTGGAGATCTTTGCTCTCATAGAGCGGTTTATGTGGCTTGGAAACCGATAGCTAGTAGCAGTATCTATGTACGTTTTCACCGCGAACTGCTCAACTACCAGGGGGAGGGGGGTGCTTCCCCCTAGGCAGCCCTCTTTGTGGTATCAGTCATAATGTGTCAAAGACATGGCAACCCAGTCTTCGAGGACCACTGAATCCCTAAAGACAGGCAGTAATTGGCTTCGCTAGAGCCCACTTTCACATAGACATCTGGATTCACTGAATAACCAGTTCTGAGATGTATTTTTCAGGTATCGCCACCGGCACCCCACTCTTATGAAGCTATTGAGGCGCCGCGCAACCCGTACCGTAAGTGGAAGTGGCTTCACTGAGTCGATGAGGACCGGATCGTCACCGCAAGACTCCATTAGAAAGACAAATAAAGACTCGCTCTACCATAGCAATGCATTCTTGTTTTGCCTTTGTAAGATTACTGTAGAATCGAAAAAGAATGAGAAGCTGACTGATGGGATACAATAGAAACAGAAGAACATCTGCTATCTAAATGGACAGTTCATTTAACAGCTCAACCCTTAGGCCGGATCATTCAAGAATTAGCCGAAAAGGGACATTTTGTAGTTTAGTTACAAGGAATATCGCGACAATCAGGTATAAATAGCTAAGCACTATCCTGTAAAGCACTAATGGCTACATAGTGGGCTAACAAGGAAGGTCTTTCAGGGTGTGCCAAGCTTTTTCAAAACGGTCTTTTGCATGATATAGGGGCACATGCGGGAACCACAGAACCATGGTTAATTTTTCCTGAACGGCCCTCTGAATACCAGAAAAGGGGGTCCCTAGTCACACCTTTTTCACCAGTTTTTCAATCAAAGTCTATTTGTAAGGGTTACTGACGGTCCTAATCATGAATATGGTACTAATTATTCATGCTAACTCCATTTTGCGCGAATTTTGAAACGTCAACTCGAAATGCAAAAATTTGTCACCACGAGGAATCGAACTAGGGGCCCCTTTTCTGGTATTCAGAGGGCCGTTCAGGAAAATGAACCATGCTTCTGTGTGGTTCCCATATTGTG